CTATCTGTCTCTGTCTATTTGTCTCTGTCTGTCTCTCTGTCTCTGTCTGTCTGTCTGTCTGTCTCTGTCTCTCTGTCTCTCTGTCTCTCTGTCTCTCTGTCTCTGTCTGTCTGTCTGTCTGTCTCTCTGTCTCTCTGTCTCTCTGTCTCTCTGTCTCTCTGTCTCTGTCTGTCTGTCTGTCTCTCTCTCTGTGTGTGTGTGTCTGTGTTTGTGTGTTTGTGTGTATGCACATCTGGAAAAAAAGGATAAATACTGTGATCTTTATTTTAGGATTTACACCATCCTTACCAACCTAGCATCCGCCTTCCCAAGTGAACCAAAGAGCATCTGTTCTGAGCTCTGGATGGGAGGCACTCAAGTCCAATTAATCCAGAAGGTGTCAGCTTTGGCATGGCAGCGTTATGCAGGAGGAAGCTAGGATGATATAATGGTTAACATGATGAACTGCTCCTGAAGAGACTCTGTTTCTAGTCCACTGTCAGGCACAGGAATCCCCTGGGTGATTTTGGGTCAGCCGCACTCTCTCATCCCCAAACCACCTCACAGGGCGGCTATAGTGGGGGGGGGGAAATGTGGGGGAGGCACAATACATCACCTTGAGCTTCTGAAGGGAAAAAAAAGGTTACCCATCTAACCAACCACTCTACAAATATATAAATAACTCTCTATACTGTGCCTGGTTGTTCTTGTAAGCATAACATTAGAGGTGAACCATCAATTATGCCATCTTGATTTCCCAGAGCAAAGATAAAATATAAGTGCAATATAAATAATAAAGCACTATATCTGCATCCTTAGATGCAGCCTTAATTAAGCAGTGATATACCTATTTAAGAGAGAAGCCGTGAGAGGGGTTAAAGCGCAGAAGAGCGGAGTTGCTCCCGCATCCCCCCTCCTTTTCCTTGCTTCCCCCCCCCCCACACTCCCCGCTTCCTCCCCAGGTTGCTGAGGTTATTTGTCTCATAGCCCCTCATCCCCCTCCTCAAGTTCCAGGAGTAGAAGTGAATCCTGCAAGGATAAAAACAGTTTGTAGACAAAAGGAGAAAGCTCACTGCAGGAGGGAAAACAGACAATTGAGGTGGAGCTCTGTAACCTTCATCCTCCTGTGCTTAAAATCAAATCCGTTAGTTAGGAGTTTTTAAAGGAGATAAGAGTCTGGTTCCTTTTGACGTTTTGAAATCTGCATCTGTTCAAAATCATTTTGACCCTCACAAATCGCTTGCGAAATGTTCACTGCAAATGTTGCAGTTCAGTATGGTTAGATCTCCTACAGAGTGGGCTCTAAGCAGAGGAGTGCCTGTTTTTCACNTTTTTATCTATAAACATAGATAAAATTATATCTATCTTTATCCAGTGGTGTGATTCAACCAGTCTAACAACCGGTTCGCTGAGCTTGCCCTTTACACGTGTGAGTTAAACTAAGCTAAAATATTTACCTTCTACTGCAACTGAGGCCTGCCAAAACAGCTGAGGTGTGGCAATCGGTTTTGCCATACCTATCAGCTGGGCTAAAAAACAAGGAAATATAGGTGTGGGAGGCGGGCTCATCTGAAGGTTGGAGCAAACCGGTTCTCTCTCAGTTGATCTTTGGAGCTACCAGTACACCTGAACTGGGCCAAACCAGTAGAATCCCATCCCTGTCTCTATCACTATTGTCTGTCTGTCTGTCCGTCTGTCTAATTTATAGGTAGGTAGGTAGGTAGGAAGGTAGGTAGGTAGGTAGGTAGGTAGGTAGGTAGGTAGGTAGGTATAGAGATATAGAGAAATAGAGATATATAATTTAGTATATACACACACATACACACGTCGGTGTAGGTGTATATCTATCTATCTAATTTATAGGTAGGTAAGGTAGATATAGAGATATAGAGAAATAGAGAGATATAATTTAGTACATACATACACACAGGTTTGGGTGTCTCTATCTATCTATCTATCGTTCTATCTATCTATCTATCTAATTTATAGGCAGGAAGGCAGGTAGGTAGGTAGGTATAGATATATAGAGAAATAGAGATATATAATTTAGTACACATACATATACAGAGCAGTATGTCCATGTGATTCTCAAGGGTCTGATTCAAAGGAACTTTTTTCTTTTTTTTTCACTTGATGCAACATTATTCCATATGAGAAAAAATATTTTTCTACCCCATATAGCTGATACATCCTTTCTCTCTCTCCCTCTCTCTCTCTCCCTCCCTCCCTTCCTCCCTCCCTCCTTATCATTTCTTGAAACATTAAAGTGCAGATTCTAGTCACCAAAAAAGAAAAAGAAAAACGTGCACAGTAACTTTCATGATATTTNTCAAAGTATCATAACGGAAGTTACCTCAGGTTATTTTGAGCAGTTTATAGCATGCTTTATTCTTTTCCCCTTCTGATTATTACCTAGATTCAGTGTAATTTTTTTCATATGTAATCTTTGATAATTTCTTTTTAGTTAATTAATCATCTCCATAGAGACAGAAAAACAAAGTTCTGGCTCTTTATGATTGTCTAGGATGAGACTACATTCAGACCTTGCTGAAGTTGTATTTTCATATATAAACACATTTTATAATTAGGCTGCGTCTATTAAACTGAGTCAGTTGTTAAACTGTACATTATTATTAAATTA